TTGTTAATGTTTATTCCTTTAATAATCTTATCATTTCTTATTTTTAAAGCTAGAACTTCAGCACATAATATAAAAATATAACATGAAAGAGGATCTCCTTGTCGGCAGCCTCTACCTATTTTTACAAAATTTGATAAAAACCCACATTGATTAACAGCAGAAGTTGCATCCTTATATAAAATATCAAACCATTTTTTTATAGACGGACCAAAGTTAAAAAAGACAGAGTATTCTGTACAAATGACCAAGAGAGTGAATGAAAAGCTTTTTCAAAAACTATTAAAAGGAAAAGTCCAGGAATGTTATTTTCTTCAGTATACTGCATGATATCATAGATAAGACGGGTATTTTCTCCAATTTATCTTCCTTTGATGAAACCTGTTTGATCTTTATTTATTAGTTTATCTAGAGTAAGTTTTATTAGATTCGCTATGCAACCTGCAGCAATTTTGTATACGGTATTTAGAAGTGTTATAGGTCTCCAATTTTTCACGAATTGTTTAGGTTTATTTTCTTTTGGAATACATGTTATTACACCTTGTGTTTGGGTCACTGACAATTTATTTGAAGTATAAGCATCATTGATAGCTCTTACCACAAAAAAACCTAAATTTTTCCAGAATACCTTATGAAAATCTGCACTAAAGCCTGATGTCCCCGGGCTTTTATTATTTGCCATATTTTGTAAAACTTTACTAGCTTCTTCATAATTTATATAGCCTTCTAATACATTGGATTCCGAATCACTTAAAACCGGTGCATCTATATTTTCCACAAATTGTAAAAATTGATCATTTGCATCATATGAAGATTTTTTGCTGAAAAGAGTTCTATAAAAATCTTCAATTTCTTTTAATATTAACTTTTGATCATTAAGAATACTACCGTCGTCTTTTTGAATCTTATGTATAGTCTTATTTATGTAACTATGTTTTTCTAAACGGCAAAAAAAAATTTGAAGGTTTTTCTCTTTCTAACGTCCATTTTGCTCTTGACCTTATAAGATAACCTTGAAGCTGAATATTATTAAGTTCTTTTAAATTATTTTGCAATTCTTGCAATCGGTTAAGTTTATCGTCTGACAAGTTTGATTCGATTTCATGTATTTCATTTATTATTCTTTTTTCTTAAGATAACTGCTGTAAGATATAGCTGTCCCTCTCAGTTCCATTAAAAGTGTTTCTAAAAACAACTGATCATTTATCGTAAACTGAATTTCATCATTTGGTATTTCCGATATATTTTCAAGGTTATATATAGGTAAAGCATACTGTTTTTTAATATCAACTATTTTTGTCTGTATTTTATTCAAATAATCTGTATCTTTTAAAAGGGAATTATTATGTTTCCATAGACCTTTTCCGTGTATAAAGTCATTAAACTTTATCTTCATTATAACAATTGAATGATCTGACTGATAGCTTATCTCAATTTTAATATTTTCTACATGAGGGAAAATTGTTTCAGTAACCAGGAAGAAATCAAGGCGTGCTTGTTGGAGTGGAGTCGGTTTACGCCAAGTGTATCTGTTCAGATTTGGAAAAAATTCTATGAATGGATCAACAAGATTTCGCTGATCAATATTTTGTAATATAAAATTTCTAGCATTATTATTATTTACAAATTTATAGTTGTAATAATCTTTGTCAGGATCTAGAACTAAGTTAAAATCTCCACACAGGATATAAGAATCGTTTCCTATTCTGTCAATGATATCAAACAGTTCACTGTAAAAAATTGGCTGATCTGTATTTGGACCGTAAAGATTTATAAGGGTTAATCTTTTTTCCTCAATTGTGAAGTCTAAAACAACAAGTACAAATGTTGCTGCAATGCAGCAATTGAGAAGCTCCGCGCAAAAAAAATGTGCTCATTACAGATACCTTACCAAATTATTCCTACGCACAGGTCATGTTATATTCAGATTAGGTACTATTGTAGATTTTTTCCGAATGTTTTGTAAACCATTTTTTGCATAATTATACTTATCTTATGCACTGTCCATAATTAAAAAGAGGGGAAAAAATTTTAATATAAAAATGCTTTCACTGATGCCTACCTGGTAAGGAAAGTAATTCCATTGAATACAAACAAGACTTGTAAATGTTATGTGACATGACTGTACTGTGTTCTGTTTGTGTCACTACTGTAGTCAGTAACAGAAGATGATAGAAATATCAAAGTCTGTTATAATTGTAACAAATATACAAATAGTAACAAAAGGGACTAATATTATAATATAGTAATATTACATGCATATTTTTCATGTCAAATTAAAACAAATGGTTTCTTTCAACACTGAAAGTAGATCACACTCTGGAATGAAAAAATGGGATGAATTTCAAAAAGACCAAATTCAGGATTTTTTTGTTTGTTATACACGCGTTACATGGTGATACAGTATTTATCAATATAATAGAAGACTGTTACCTGAATTTTAGGTAGGTATGAGGAAATTCACTAGTATCATATTCGTGCGAGACAAAGATATGAAAGCTATTTGACATTGGTAATATATATAAAAAACTATTGTTAATTAATTTTTAGGGAGATCAATATATATGTTTTTGTTGAATTGCTTTAAAACCATTCATAAGAAACACTACACTTCATGTTCAAACTGCAGATCAAAGTTTCTGTTGTTGTCATGAGATCTATCTATAGCCTATGCTTAAGGTGATTCCGCTTTGTCAACCATGTTTGTTTTGACTAAAGTCTGTCCAAAGTGAAAGTAGGCCAAAATTCATATAACAACAAAGCTCTTATTGTAAAATAATGAACCATTTGAAAGTACACTTCCAGGTTTATATTTAAAGGACAATTATAAACAAAAATAAAAATGATAACAATAAGAATATTTACCTTGAATGTGCTACATTTTTGAAGACCAAAAACAGTCTGTTGCAAAGTTTTATGCACATTTCATGAATGGCAAAATCCTTTTTAAAGTCTGTTTTAGTGCCAACAAAAGCTATTTTTTGCAGCAAATACAAAAATCTTTCAAAACTTAACTCCAAATAAATCAGTATCTCATGTCCTTCTAAGCACATGGCCTCCATTATTTTTTGTAAAAAAGTAGTGCAAGAAAACAATCATCATTTATAGCCTTATGAACTACAATTAAAATGAAAACACAATCAAACTTTAAAATCTAACCTTTTTATGTGTAACAGTGAAGTGTGTCTGTTTGTCATGTACACAAGAAATAGGTAAATGATGTTTATTTTCATGGTACTACTTTTTTACACATGTCATGGAGGCCAATTTTTTTGTTTGCACTAAAATAGACTTTAAACTGGATTTTGCCATTCATGAAATGTGCATAAAACTTTGCAACAGAATGTTTTTGGTCTTCAGAATGTAGCCCATTCAAGGTAAATATTCTTATTGATATCATTTTTATTTTTGTTTAAGATAGTCTTTAAAACATAGAATTGGAAGTGTACTTGCAAATGGCTCGTCATATAACAATGTGAGCTTTGTTGTTATATGAATTTTGGCCTACTTTCACTTTGGACAGACTTTGTTTAAACAAACATGGAACAGGTTATTGAAGGTCCATCCGCTCATAAGGGTACAAAATGCAGACCCCGAACATATCACCAGTCATACCACTAACTTTTTTCTTTTTCACAAAGTGGTATACTGTTCCAATGACGCGAATGAAATGTAACGTTATATACTAAAGTTTAATTATTTCAAAACAACCAATATATCAACATGTTATTATTAAACATTTAATTTCATAAATATAAATTAAAAATAATTATCAAAAGCAAAATTGTTAAAATCTTATGCCTGAAATCTTCTTTCTATTGACAAATTCAATCATTAATAGTATACTTGATATGCTGTGGTTAAATGTATTTCAAAATGTAACAAATTATAATTTCATGTACTACTAAACAAGAAAAATATTACATACATTCGTATGTAATATAGGTACGATTGCATACTACTTTTTGTGAAGACTTTATGTTTGCTGAATTAAAGGTGTAATGTAAAATGAACACACATGTCATGAGATATTTTATATCTTTAAACATTTTCATGGAATGTAATTAATGTATCACCATGTTAAAGTTGCATGCCTTCAGATGAGAAAAATGATTTCAAGGATGATTTCAAGGAAATCAAAATATGAAAAGAAAATTCACGGTCAATTGACTGCTTTGAAGGATAATCACAAAATAAAATTACAGGAAATTAAAAACCTTTTTAATACACTTAAGGTAGAATTTCATTGTAAATCATAGTCAAAGATTTTAGATATGATTATTTATTCATATTAACATCATTATTGGTTATATATTGATAAAAAAGACCCGAAAGACACAGTTTGTAAATATTTATTACAATAAAATATGAAAAAGGTATACGCGCCGAGGTTAGCTATGATTAAAATTCCTGCGCTAAGTCGCTGTGGTGCTTGGGATAATCACTTGATACTGTAAAGGGCAGCCATTTTACGATACGAATCCTCGGACAGTTTATCCTGCCGAAAAGATATAAAAAAATACTTGCAATTCAAAGTTTGCTGGCTACATAAAGATTATCGATTTACTCTTTGCACACTTTTTCTCTGCCTGAGTATAATAATATTGACGTGTTTTCATTGGTTTAAACCATCACGTTACCAATACACATGTAGGTGTGAACTAATTTCGTATTCATTAAAATTATTCTGTTAATAGACATATAACAATCTTATTTACAAATGAATTGATAAAACAACAATCCCAGAAGCATTTAAGATAATAACAATCATTGGAAAAAAATAAATGCATATAAATTTTAAATTTGTGTATGACAACTCAACCCCCTAAACAAAATATAATAGACTCAACCAAAACAAGCGCCTGCTTCTTCACCTAACTATATAGTTGCATGACCATGATTAGCAATTTAGCAAACCAAATCTAAGAGATAAACCTATTGTAAAAATAATACTATGACCACAGCAGATTTCGTACAGAAAAGGAAAATAACAAATTTATAACCGAAGTAACATTTATGGCTATTTATAGCTTTCGAATTTATGTAACAGCAGAACTGCTTTCCGGTTCTCATTCAATAATATGACATGCTGCGAATCACCGACGGGGAAACCAATATAGAAACCGAAAGGAGTTCTTGAATGCAGATTTACTTTGAGCTGTTAATCGAAAGGATTTGTTGCTCAAATCCGGGCCCATGGACAAAAAATATAGTAAACACAAATAGCTCCGCGCCTGTGGGCGCGCAGCAATAAAGTTTCCTTTGTTATCAATATGTTTGCTATGAATATTATATTCAATATTTTTATTAAAAAGAATTGCAACTTCCCGTGAATTGGATGTCCCTTGGCTCAGGAAACATTCACTATTCCATTCACAGTATATATTTTTATTCATATTTAACGTTAAGAGTGTATCTTGTAGACAGTAAATACTGCAATTTTTCTGCTTCAAAAATCTAATTAACTCAATTCTCTTTTTTGAACCGTTAAGACCTCTACAATTCAAAGATAGGATATTTAGGCTACTTGAATTCATCTAAAACGTATATTTGAAAAAGAAAAAATACATGCTTCAAGGAAGGTAATGTGAACAAAACACAAACAAATCAATAAATCATTCATACATACATAAACAGTTACAGACACACACACACACGCACGCACGCACGCGCGCGCGCGCGCGCGCGCACACACACACACACACACACACACACACATATATACAAAATAAACACAGAAAGGACAATTGTTCCCAGTATAAAACTTGAGAAAAATAAATAAATCACTTATAGACTGGATATATTTTTCATTTTGTATAACTGCAAAAATGTGCGTGTAAAATGAACCCAGATGGCTGGACTATTCTTCTTTTTCTTCTGTATATAAACAAGTGCTTGAAAGACACTGTCTTTTTTTAACCAGAATAATTTAGTTTAAATTAATATAGCTTAAATAAAAAAGTAATTTGAAAAATCGAGCTAAAATTAAGATAGAAGCGTCTCATATTTTCTTCAAAGCTTACATTTATTTCTTAGAAAAATAAAAAAAACATAAAAAGAACAATGGTAGACAATTTACTTTGAATAAAAAAAAATGCATAAAAAAGTTTCATTATGAGAGAAGAAAAAGAGAACAGTTCCCCCTAAACCAATAGATATTAATTTTGGGCATCATATATATTTAAGCATACAGTAAATGCTAAGTGTTGATTCTTGCAGAGATATAACTTTAAGGCATAATATGCACTTTTATGAAACTGACTTCTAAGTATTTATGCATTTATTATGTTCTGCATGAATAGAGTGATGGAGAAAAAACAAAAACAAAACTTTTTAAAGCACAATGAATAGTGTATCACTAAATTAAAACTTATTATGTAAACTTAATCCTAGTACGGGGAAACAATTCAAGTACATTCAAAAGAATAACAAGAACCTCAATTTTATCGTGTGTGATCTTAAATTAACAAACGATTTATTTAAATGACCGTGACAAGAAAGGTAACAAGGGGCCTCATAATTCTGAATTTTGACAAGCAACTGTATGTTTTTGTTACAACGATTGTTTCTATTATTTTTTTTTTCATAACTGGCATTCTAATGTTTCGGCTTTTCGCCATCTTTTTTTGAATTTTCACCACGTGATAGTAACATGGTAAAAAATGCGAAAGAGCGAAAGAACGGGGCCCCCCGATGTTGCAAGATCGACAGTTCGAGGGTGAATACACTAAATAATATATCAAAACAAATATCATTAATATGTTGAGAGTTTCAAATGTATTATACAAGCACAGGAAGATATATTTCATCAATACCCATCACGTCGTTTTATTGTATACTGTTACATCATTTCTCACGTAAATTAAAACCCCTTTGTAAATTATTTATTTTTAACTTTAAATCGTCATATCAAAGTAATTTTTTGTCATCCAATTTTGGAATTTAAACTTTGGAACAGTTCTCAGACTGTTTCTAACTTGTTTTTCTTTAAAAAAAATCCATAACGTCAAACATTTTATCTGACTTTTTTCACCATACATATTTCGTAATTAAAGATAATTAAGTCGCTGATTGAGCAAAGAAAACTCCCTCTCACGGTTCCCTTCGGTAATAAATTTCTTTCAATTGTTTTAAACCGCATGTAAATTGCTTGATTATTAAAATTTTACGCCGATTTGAAGTTAGTCTGACCCGCACCAAATCGGCTATTCTCTCTCAGACCCAAAGGTTACATGCTAAATCATTGCATTACACAAGAATATCGCACTAAAGGGGTCACCAAAATGCGGTAACATACTCGAACTCCTTTTTATGACCCTGTGACATCTGACCAATCAAAAAAGCTGCTGATAAATATCATTTTAAAGCAGATATTACTTTGAATCTTAACGTGATTTACTGTCAGTCTGGTATCTGACTATCTGTCGCAGATTCTATGTGACTATCGGTTAATTTGAAGCGCTCGGGAGGGAAATGGATCGCATTTAATGTGCGTACAGCTAACGGGGTAGTTTGATTGTTTCACAATTGAAGTTTATCATTATTATCATGATCATCATCGTCATCATTATAATTATATTATACCAGTGTCACTCTGCCTGTGTATTCGTGTATTGAACTCCTGACAATATTTAAAATTTCGTGGTACGATGTACAAATAAGACCGGAAAAATTGCGGTTGAGGAAATTAGGGTACAATCAGCGTAATGCTTTTATTTACCGTAATGCATTTTTAATGATGCCTCCTTATATTTAGGAGTCATTGTATCGACGATATATAGAACTTGTTTTGCAACAAACACGGATAAGTGTAAATTTGCATTTTTTTAAATAAAAAGGTGTTGAATTGAAAATTATTTTAAATCTAGTGTACAAACATTTAATGCCTCGGCCAGTCGGGGAGTGTTTCTTGACACTGTAGACCAGGTGGATTTTGGTAATTGTTTTATCCCCAATGGATTATTTTGTGGCGTCTTTGATGTGCAGCATCAACATTTAACTTGTTTCGTTCTGATTTGCAGCAATTATATTGTAATAGGAAGAAGGTTTAACTGACATTTTTTTTTTATTTTCTCGGTTTACTGTTTGAGAATTATCATTTCCCTTCACAATGTTCATTACACATTTTTAACAAATTGCCAGATAATTTATGTTTCATAAATACTTTAAATAGCATGATTCATGCAAAACCGCCTCGTCTATCTAACTAAAAAATTTAGAATATAATAGTCTGGGTAGTTTTCGAACTACTTGCTTTACATTAATTTGAAAATGAAGTCAAATACAAACAAGGCGCTGACAATTTAGTTAATTATGCTCTTTAAAAATTATTTTATTTCACCTTTTAAATTAAAATAATGTTGGTTGTAGATATTGCTAAATAACAGTCGAGCTCGATATGCTATAACTCTTTTATTGCATGATAAACATACATAACAACCAAGTGTACTTAGATAACTGTGCTTTATTTGTGATAACGCACATTTTATTGTCAAGATGTATCTCTTAATATGAGGTATCGCCTTGTACGTTATTACCAATAAAGCATGCTCTTGACGTATAACCGTTGAGGAACATCAAACAAAATCCCCGCACAATGCGGAAATTGAATATTTCACAATGGATACCTAAATATCATAATTGTAAAATCTAAAAGTAATACATATGGCTGCTTTAGTTTGTCAATTCCTTTAATGCAACCTACTTGGCATATGATAAGAAACGATGAATGAAAGCCAACATTACTTTACTTTGTAGTATAATGTATGTAATCTAACTTTAGTACCTTTTATCAAAAGAATAAACCATCGAAAAATAAACTTAGACATTAGTTAAAAAATATTCGAAATACCTGTTGTTTAATCAATAGTTCCCTTCATGAAATAAAGACTTAGTTCTTAGCATAGTCGTTGAGGGACATTTGTATCAGCTCTGAATAAATAACAAATTAAAATAAGTGCGTGTTTCTCATAGAACTTTAAATTTGCACATTAATTCCCTTTACACTTCCTTTTGATATTGAAACAAAGAATTGTTTTTTTATGGTTGTAGCCACCGAATCAGTGGAAGTAAAATCTGGTTTGTACATACATAATAAACAAAATTAATATTGCAACATTTGCCAATTATTTAAATAAATCAATATGTAAAAAATAATTTTCTATTATTACAAAAGGTCCTATTATTATAAAAGGTCCTTACCTGCTTATTAAAATAAATGTTTCTTTATAAAGTACATGGTAATTCTGTCCAATGAATATCCAAATAATGTTATGGAAACCTTTAAAGTAATAGAAGCACAAATATTATTTGCACGATCAAAACCATGTTAAACACCATGCAGTCTTTTATGTAAGAGAACGAACAATTAAATGTTGATAATTAATTGTTATTTAAATAACTAGATAATATACCTAGAATGAACAGAAAATAAATGTTTAATATCATTCTCATGAATAAAGCTGCTAAACATTATCTTTACCTATCTTTATGCATCTATATACGATAAACACCAGTCTAGGTGTGCTTATGTCTGCGAAGACAAAATTTCAGTGTATTAACATACCGTTCTAGCAAATCTCCTTTTACATAAACTGAAAACAGTTTAATGATGGTTAAACCAGTACTGTTTCGAATTGCAATTGTCATAGGGTTCTAACAAATAATATGATGATTAATGTGTAAAACTAGAGAAAATGATACAAAAAATTGTAACTATTGTAAATTATATACTTATATAAAACATTGATAAACTATTAAAAAATTAGTCACGTAAAGCATGTGTTATTTTCTACCACTGCATATAGATGCTAGAAGCGGAGGAAATATTAAGTTCTTTGCTTATCGTATTTTTATCTAACGAAATATTCATAACTATATTCTGGAAAAAATATGCAGTATAATTTAACATATTTAATTGTTATTTTGTCTCGCGTGTACACAATGTGTTATTATTGTTATAATGGTCTTTTTCAACCACAGCGGGATACTAAGGCCCATCCAATGTGGCACACAGTCTTTTCCCCCACCTTACTCCCAAACCCTCCCTTATTTCCAGTAAAATGCTTGAATTGCTTAATCTATCGCTACGGTGATGACGTAA